ACTGTTTTTGTGCTGTGCCCCTTTGGCTGGAATTTCTTCTTTTCTTCTTTTTCTGTTTATCTAAATTCTCTTTATCATTCAATGTTTGCCTCAAGCTACTTCTTCCATCTTGTCTCCTATAGCAATTCCTAAGGACAATTTTATTTCTCCGTTTCAAACTTTTATTGCCCTTATGGTCAGTAAAATGCATTTGGCCCCAATCATATGTCAATTGTATTATTATTTATGGTTATTATAAGCTGTCTCTTGTCTGCTCATTTAGATCATGAGTTTCCTGAGGAAACAGCCACGCTGTATTTATCTTTGAAACCTCAGCATTTTGTAGTGCTTTGCTGGACTAGTTGCTTTGGATATATTTATTGATTGGGTGGTGTATTTGGTACTTTACATGAAATCAAGTCTCTTGAAAGCCAGTATATTTTTGTCTTCTCCCAAATCTAGCCTCTCCCACCCCCGCCTTGGGCTAGGTCTATCAAACCTTGTCTAAGTGGGTCTATTGGAAACAGAAAAAGGAAGACTATTTGTTTTAGAAGAAACCAAATAAGAAGAAAGAGAAGGTCAGGTCAAAGCTGCCCAGAGGCAAATCTGCCATTTAAAACCATCCTGGAGATGAAGTCATCACCAATCTCTATTAAACACTGCTCCCTGGAAGTGAGGCACTGGCCAGTTTTTAGGGCCTCTGTATATGCAAGAGTGGATGTGGGGCAGAGGAGAAGGCAAGAAAAGGCAGTGAAAGAATCTGAAAGGAGTGGGCAGTGAAAAATTGCCCCTCTCTGTCATCACAAGAGGAATGACTCTGACAGAACAGTTGCATTTATGCAGATTCTTCGAGACAGGTCCATGTGAGTCAGGGCTGATGCTGCCATCAAGCAAATGACAGCTCTACTCCTAAGAATGCTACCTCACCCTCCGTTTGCATGACTCCTTCACTTTAAAAACTGTACGGAAAAATCCCTTTGCCCAGCCATTTGTAGGCTGAAGTAAAGACTAGATGAATCAGTCCTTTGGTAAAAGAAACTCTGGTACATGCAGAATATAAGCAGGACAAGGATGAGATGAATGATAATAATAATAAAAAGAGCATTTATGGAGAACTTAATATGTACCAGACCAAATGTTAAGAATATAACACACATTATTTAATCCCTGTATAACCTCTGAGACAGGTACTTGTACTGTACAGTGAAATTAAGTAATTTACTTAATATTATATTACCACATTGTGGAAGAACCAGAATTCCAGGCCACATGCTCTAGTATTCCAAACAGTTGATGTGTGATGACCATCTTTTCCCAAGCAAAATTCAGGACATATGACCTCAAATATATCAGTGTCCACTGGGTCCAATAAGACTGGACATTTGCAATTAGGACTGTTGAGGAAAATCCTGGCCAGGAGAGTCACTGGCCTTTAAATACCAGAAGAAAATTATGGATTATGTTCAAATTTCTATTCTTGCCTCTTTGGCGATAAGGAAATAATGCCGTTTATATTTAGGGTGCACAATTAATTAGCATCATCTTAATGAGCAATTGGAAGTTAAAAATAGTTTTGCTTGTAGTCCATCAAATCACTGATAAAAGTGTTTACCGATTGACTTGGTAGAGATTATTGATGCTTCCAGCTATAGTTTCCTTTTGCTTTAAAAGGGCCATTTAGAGGGGATATATTTTAGACACAATACAAATTTTTACCAATTTTTGAAATGCATATTGAGTTTGTCTTTTTTTTTTAAATACAATGTATTTCAACCTACTGAGTGAGATATATGAGATGAACAAAAAAAATCACCTCATGTAGTTACTTCTCATTTTTGTACTCAGATTTTACAAAGAAATTATGTGTAAACAAAACACATTTTAAGCCTGTCTGCAGGGTTGACTATGCAGAGGTGGAGTAGGTATATGTTTGGATAGTGTGATTTGAGAGTTTCCTACTTAAACTATTTCTATGATTGTCCTGACACTCTAAAATTGTGGCCAATTTGCTGAATTCCTATATAGAAAATAAATGGAACTATCTGGGTTAAAATATGGATGGGGCGATTGGGAGATCTGAAGCTCTTCCATTTTAGTTTCTTCCTAGAGCTTCTATCTCTTCCATTTTTAAACACTGCTGACCAATACTGGAGAAATGGTTAAGTGAGTAAGTAATCACCATTTGTGTACTGGATCAATAGATTTTTGTCTTAAGGACAGTTTTTATAGAACAGTAAGTTTTAATGGGAAGAAAGAATGGCTTTTATTGAGCACCGCTTATGTACCTGATACTGCATAGGTGCCGGACACATATTAGGGCATTTTAAACTCCTAACAGGTCTGCCTGGTAGTGACTGATCGGGAAAGAGACTGGAGCTGGAGGGTAGGGAGAACAGTAGCCAAAACCTGAGTAGAATCTGTCCTTAAACAGGACAAATGACTTTCTTTGGAACCCTAAGTCTAACATCTCACAAATTCAATGGTGAAGAAAGGCAGATCTAGGGATTCTTATTGTAATTTTATAGATGCAATTTGCTTAGGGCTGTAGCTCCTAAGTGGTGGAACCCAAATTCATACCAATGTTCCCTATTCCAGGTCTCCTAACTATAAAACCCACATCTCTTTCCTGGTACATTGAGAAGAAGTATAAGGTAAGGGGTTAACATGTGGGCTGGAGTGCCACATTATCTGGCTTCTGATCCTCGCGCATCACTCTGGCTAGCCTGAGATATTGCCTAAACTCCTCAGTTTCTGTGTGTCTCTTTCCTCAAAGGTAAACATGGAAGTGATACTAATAGAATCTATTTCATGAGTCTGTGGCAGAGATTAAATGTTCTAATGCATTTAATGAGCCTGGTACACAATAAGCCTTCAATAAGTTGAGCTTTTATCACTACATGCTATTGTGACAAAGATAAAGTATAGAAATAGTTCCCCTGTCTGATCCTTAGATAGGGCTAAAATGGAGATCCTGGGTGGCTCTTGAAGCAAAAGGCACAAGCTTCTTGGTCAATGGTATAAAAGGAATACCAATATTGAAGAAAACCTTGCCCATTTCAATATTTTGCACTGAAGTAGTTCTGGAGAACTATCTTCTTTAAACCCTGAGAGCTCTCAAATAAGAGCAAATAGTGAGCATTGATTGAGCTTATTCTTAAAATTATTATCAAAGAAAGCAAGACTGTATTAAGACAGGGATCCAAAGGAATGGTGACGAACTCCACATAACTGAAGCTAAATATTTCGGTTTTGATTAGCTGTGTTCATTCTAGTAGACACCCATGTAATCCAACTGACAATGGACTGGATGGAGAGCTGTTTTTCAAGTAGACAGAGAAGGAGCTGCTCAATGATTTTTACCCCACTAGCCTTTGAAATACAATGTTTTACAGACTACCTTTCAACGATAGGAGTTGTGTTCTCTGTTCAAAGCCCAGACCTCAGTATTATGCTGCATTATTTATGAAGCTTTAATATTTTCTAGTTTCAATTGATTGAAGACTCCTTGTTTTAAATGGAGATACGAGGAAAATATAGCTCATGAAACCCATGTTAAACAGTAATTCTTTGTAAAATAGTCCTAATCATAATTATAAAAGCACAGGAGAATTTAATTATTAATCTCTAGGATTAATCTACTATTTATTGACCCATTACTATAACTCACTATATTAGCTGTTGAGGATACCATAGTGAGAAAGACTGTTTCTGCCCTCAAAGAGTTTATAGCTTAATAGGGAAGAAAAAGATGTTGCAAAATATAATAAGTATCATAGTTAAATGTACCAAGTGCTAGCATAGGTAATGACTCTGAGAAAACTTTTGGAAGCCTCACCAAAGAGCATCTTACTAAGCTCAGAGTTCTATCAGATAGTTCCACAAACTATGACTACAAAATAGATGTATGTGATCATTCTTAGAAGCAGGGAAAGATGTCAAACTTGTGAGAAGTATGGCAGTGAACTCCCAATTATCCCTGTGTCAATTATCTACACTGCAAAACTTAGCAATGGCTCTCTCTAACCCATTGTAAAATCTGCTAACATCTCAGTTCTCTCTCTTGCTACTCATCCCATTTCTGAATCATGCTGCCAGTACAGAAGTACTAGTTCTCTCCTTATAAGTTTGCTATTGTAGACATATAAGAATTATCCCCTTTCCCATTTGTTATACAAACTAGCGATCACTTCCATTAGCATGGAACATCAGTATGCTGGATAGCAGGTTTTAATACATTATAAGCAACCGATAAAATGAGGTAGCAGTCGTTATTGGGTGTGGAAGGAAACAAAGGCCACACATATATACGATGGAAAAAAGATTACATCAAGAATAAAGGAATTGGCCAAATGCAGTCAGAGTGTCTTCTTCTCCCAAGCTACAGATGAATCATTTAAGCACTGCAGAATAATAGGCTCCTGAGAGCTTCAGGATGCAGAAAGGTTAAAAACTGTGTATGTGTATGTGTGCTTTTTATATGTGTAGTTATATATGTGTGTGTGTGTATATATATATATGTTATTTTCTAAGTATATATGAATGTGTGTGTGCTTATAAATATGTGTGCATATGTGTGAATATATTTGCATGAGTATGTCAGACCAGACAGGCTGGAAAGTAAGTATAAGACTTCTCATACTCCTCTCAGGCTCTGTCTCTCTCAATTTCCTCACCTCCATACTACCAATAGACTAAAGCAGAAAGGATGCTCTGTGACCAGAGGCTGCATTACAAACTTTGCAGCTCTCTGAGGACATTCCACCTAGGAACCTCTTTGGTTCCCTGCAGGATGGTGGGTTTTAGAAGTCTGTCGACTCCCCCCAAGAAGAAGGGACAGCTGCGGACACGCTAGGCTAAAGCCTGCCGCCCCCGGCCCCGCCTGGTTCCTAGGGCGTCCCCCGTCCGCATCCGCGAGCTCTGCAGAAGCTGGCCCGGTCCGGGCAGGCTCCGCCGTGGAGCG